GATTATACCTTACAAACTATGACTTGTTATGTCTCATGCTGTATTGATGATTACATGCTCATACCTTGTATATCTCTTAAGTCGAGTATGGACTATTGTTTGGTAAGCTTTGGAGAAAGTCGAAGACCGGTTTGCTATTTTTATTAGTATCATTCTAATGGTATGAAAAATACGAGATAAAAGGTTGGTCCATAAGACTTAGGAAAGGTGGAAATACGGTGGTTCAAAGCGTCCCTTTTAAGCCATTGTGGAAACACCCGAATCTCGACAGTACACAATTCAAGCTGTTCCAATAAAATATGAAAGAGGTGTGACAACTGTTAAGTGCTACAGTAGTTTACAATTCCATTAATTCAACAATAAGTCCGACATTCAAATCCGAAATTCAAATCCGAAACTCCAATGCTACCTATTCGGCTTCTGACATGTCACCCGGCGTAAACCCCGGCCACCACTTGTCAACCTGCCACCTGTCGGCCGGCCACGTTACATAAACCTACAGTGCTAGCTATAACTGCTGTTTTATCCCATTGCAGTCCAACTGCTTCATCCATTGTATTCCAGCTGTTTCATCCCACTGTACTTCCCACTGTTTGTCCACGTATGCACATCAGGCCTGGTTGGCGACACACAGTACGCCTGCTTAGCCACACACAGAACGTTGTAGAGCGAAAAACCCATCGCGCAATTGCCCCATTGGGAAGTACTTCCCCTTCGGGAAACGTAAGCTAGTTGACATTGGTTGGTGACACACGGCGATGAACTCTCTTTTCTTTTTTCTGCTGTATGTGCCCTTGTTGCTACGGCTTCGAATTTTTTTTTAGAGTTAATTTCTTGAAACTCATATTGTTTATTCCATCCTATAAAACTCTTATTCCTGTCCTCTACAACTGTGTTTCGACGTCCGTGTATACAAACCATTGCTGCTGTGCACTCGGAACAAGCAGTGAGCACACTTAGGAGGACGGGAAGAAGCCATGTCGTCATTTCAAGAGCATTCGCATTCGCATCAGTTCAAGCATACGAACAACGCCCGTAGGGCGTCTCTGGTGTATGGCAGCTGGAGTAAAGGAGGGCTATACATTCCCTCAGACTTTATGAGGAAAAAGAACTACATCGACGATGATGAGCAGTGTCCGCTGCTGTCGTCAAGTGCGCCGCAGAGACTGCCATGTCCCCAGATCATTGAAGAGGAGCGAGAGCTGCTGGAAGATAATAAGCTACTACCGAAGAGTGCTATAGGGAGCACCGTTGTCCAGCACACGCTGAGTGAGGACGAGCCATACGTGGAAGATGAAGTTGACAGTGAGGAATGGAGAGAGATCGAACAGATTGAGGATACCTGGGAGGAGGCTGCAGCGAAGGGTGCAGTGAAGACGTCGACGCAGTTCGAGATGAGGGCTTTGACACAGAGCTCGCTACCGTTGGTTGTCACGTTTCTGCTCCAGAACTCCTTCTCGCTGGCGTCGATCTTCTCTGTGGGCCATATAGGTAAGGAGCCACTAGCCGGTATAACTCTGGGCTCGATGACGGCTAATATCACAGGCTTTGCTGCGATTCAAGGCCTCACGACGTGCCTGGATACTCTCTGTTCTCAGGCTTATGGTGCCGGTAAATTCAACCTCGTTGGGTTGCAGTTCATTCGCTGTGCAATCTTTGCCATTACGTGTTTCATTCCGGTGGGCATCGTATGGGTGTGGTTCGCTCCATCGCTGCTGAGACTTTTCGTCCCGGAATCGGAACTCATCGACATTGCTTCAAACTACCTGTGTATTGTTTGTCTTGGAATGCCAGGCTACATTCTCTTTGAGTGTGGGAAGAGATTCTTGCAGTGCCAAGGTGTCTTCCATGCAAGTACGTATGTGTTGTTGATCTGTGCTCCCCTGAATGCATTGATGAATTACCTCTTTGTTTGGCAATTTGGGTTTGGCTATAGAGGTGCACCGGTTGCGGTCATGATTAACTATTGGATCATGCCACTCGGGCTGCTGATATTCGCCCTAGTCAATAAGAAGTGTTTGAAGTGCTGGCCTTCAAATTTCCACATTAAACAGGCATTCGAAAACTGGGGCAAGATGATTGAGTTGGCATTGCCCGGTGTGATTATGGTTGAAGCTGAATTCCTCGGATTCGAGATCATCACAATCATGGCTTCAAATTTGGGAACAGCAGAATTGGCTGCGCAGAGTATTGTTAGTTCCATCTGTGCCCTGGCATACCAAGTGCCCTTTGCGGTATCGATCTCAACAGCAACGAGGGTTGCAAATTACGTTGGTGCTTCTTTACCAGTGAACGCAAGAGTCTGTGCCAGGTCCTCCATGAATCTCGGTCTTTTCATTGGTCTTTTCAACTCTTGTATCGTACTGCTGTTTAGAGAACAAATTGTCCCCATATTCACCGGAGACGAAGACGTTATTGAACAGGTCTATAAGACGATCCCTGTTATCGGATTCATGGAGGTTGTTGACTGTTTAAACGCATGTTCAGCTGGATGTATGAGAGGCGAAGGGCTGCAAAAAATAGGAGGGTTCATAAATATCTTTTCCTTTTACATGATTGGCTTACCACTCTCTTATCTCTTCACATTTCATTTGGGACTCGAGGTCAAAGGCCTATGGCTGGGAATCGTCATTGGCCTTACATCGGTGACGTTTCTACAGGTTTACACCGTGTTCTTCTGGTCCGACTGGGAGAAAGTTGTCGAGGAGGCCAAAAAGAGAAACTCTGAATGTTGAATACCTGGTTTCTCCTCACTACGCTCCATTTTTAATAGACAGTTCTCGTAATATCAACTCTTCGTTGCTCGACGTAGACTCTTTCTCCATATTAGATCCTTACACTCAGATCATAGTACGCTGGAAGTGGAAGTCGCTGTGTTTCGCTACATGCCGAAACAGGAAATGCAACAAAAAAAACGAAATTTCCAAAAAGAGATGAAAATCACGCAGCAAAGAGAACAAAAACTTTTTTTTCGCACCAAACGAAAACGAAAACAAAAACATCAACACTTTTTCTTAGACGTCTGTGACGAGAAGACGAAGAAGAGGGCGGCTAAGACTCAGACGAGGAAGACAGCAGAGAACACGTCAAGCCAGTAACGAGCAACTATGGAATTCAATCTTCAGCAGTTCAACTTTGCTGAGATGCGTGGACTGTTCGACGATGCTGATGCTGATTTCAACCTGACCCTTATCATTGGGCTCGCCACAGGGCTGGGGGTCTTGTTCTTCGTTCTGCTGACGTTGACTATATACTTCACGTTCTTTGCAAGCAACGGTGGCATCTTCCTTGGTTCAAGCTTCAATATCCCTGGTGAGTTTGACGACGAGCAAGGACGGTTGAACGATGAGGCTGAATATCTGCCAAAGCTGAAGGAGCATGAGAGGGAAGCGTACTTCGCTGCTAAGCAGTTTCAGGAGCATTTCCCTCCACAGGCCAATCCTCTGGGTGCCAGCTTGAGTGAGGCTGAGGCTGCACTGATCCGGGACCGTGGTATCCAGTCGTACTCTTTTGAACAGCCTTCGGAGCACAGTTCTGTTCCCTCTGTTATTGTTGAAGATAAGCTTGATGTTCGCTTCACCAGCGCTGAGCCGAACTCTGCTATACTGAACAACCCGCTACCACTCACTGAGAATGATACGGTGTACTTTGAAGTGAAACTGTTTGAACTGCCGGAGGATTCTACAGTGAGCATCGGTGTTGCCACTAAGCCATACCCACTGTTTAGATTACCAGGGTATAACCGTTACTCGATGGCCTACGAATCTACGGGGAAGGTGAGGGTTAATCAACCTTTCTATACCCCAGAAATCTGGGATACCTTTGTTGAAGGTGACGTGATCGGGTGTGGGTTCAAACCACGTTCAGGCACAGTATTCTTCACCCGTAACGGTAAGAAGGTTGTGGAGGCTGCTCATAACGTCAAGTTTGACATGTATCCAATAGTGGGCTCGCAAGGTCCTTCTAAATTGGATGTCAATCTGGGACAATTGGGTTATGTCTTCATCGAGGCTAATGTGAAGAAATGGGGGTTTGGTTCACTATATGGGACCATTGGTATACCTCCAGCATACGGCAATGAGCTAGGCAATGATACTGTTTTGGATAGAGGCGAGGAGCTTCCTCCAAATTATCCTTCTGAAGAGGAAACATTCTTTGGACCACCAGCTTTGGTGGAACAGCAACAACAACACGAGGAGGATGGTCAAGAATTGGAACAGGGACAAGGGCAAGGGCAAGAACAAGCACAGCATCCAGTGAAACAAAACCAAGTGCATGTGTTAGCACATGTGGAACCTATTCCTGAGAATAGACCTACAAAGATCATCAGTAAACCACCGAGCTATACCGATGAACCAAAGGAGGAGCTGAGGGCCTCCACCCCTATTGAAGTTACTGAGTCCTCTGAAAGACTCTATGAGAGGCATTCAAGCACATTTGACCAAGAGAATAATGCTTATGACGCTGGTTCTAGCTCATTGCAGAACATTACCTCACCAGCCGTTGTCGGAGACAGCGATGAGGTAACAGACACTACAGATAAGGTGGATACCCCAATTAATGAAGACCCAATAGCGAAGGAATCACCTACAGAGCCAAGTGTCGAAGCTTCAAACGAATCAACGCCTGAACCTTCACAGAACAAACAAACAACATCGACAAAGTCAAACAAGAGTAAGGCGAAGAAGAAGAAAAGATCAAAGAAGAAAGGGCGTAAGTAGTAATTTAGTCTCTTCCACTGGAAATGGAGCTTGTTCGACGTGTATTTCTGTTCACTCCGTTTGAGCAGTAGTAGACTACAAACGTGTAGTTTTAACAAGACGAAGGCTCTTAGTCAATAGAATCCTTTATTAATCGATTGTCTCTTGTGTCTAGAGAACTAGAGCATCTCATTCGTCTTCATCACTTCCAAGTGCCATTGAATTTCTTCTTATAACTTCCTTTGCCTCGTTAGCCAGGTCGTCAACGTCGGTGTCGCTTTCGTATTCTTTTGCTATTGAGCTCCACTCGATGTATAGCTCTTTGAGATAGCCTCTTGCTGTCTTCAGGAACAACGGATCGAAGGGGAAATACCCTTCCAGGTCAACAAACTGTTGGTGAGCCAGCTGAACAGAAGCTGAACGGTTACTTTCGTTGGAGTTTCCATGGCCAGAAATACCACGTAACCTTTCATTCTTATTCTTTTGGATGATAGAGAAGCAGTAAGCAACGTTTTCCTCCTGTGCAATCTTAGCAAACATGGACACAACAGTTTCATTGCAAAATTTAAGAGGGTTGAACTTGGTGATGAGCATTCTTTGAAAGAATTTGTCCAGTGACAGTTCCCATGAGCAGTCCTCGTTCTTGAAGAGCGAATGTCTGAAGCAAAAGACGTATAGTAGCACTTGAAACGTGGAATAGAACAGCTTGAAACGATCCATGTTCACTGTTACGTCGATTTCAACTTCACGTTCCTCGACATACCTGTTCAACCAACTCATCAGATAGCTTATCACGAACAAGATTTGAGATTTCTGTAACATCTTTGCCCTTGATATATAAGAACTCAAGTACTGTAAAGATTTGATTCTCTTCTCGATGCTGTCATCGGAAGCAAAGCAGAGGTCTATCAAGGTCACAAGAAAGGAGTCCATCAGCTCTGGCGACTGTTGAGTATAGTAAAACAGTATAAACTGTGTGGATTTGGTATAGTATGTTGGCAAAATGTGGGTCTTGAACAGCGACGTTAGCGTGTTGTAGATGGAGATGGCCTGTTCTTCTTCATCTTCGTCGTCAGAATCCATCCGGACCCCTTGCAAGTTGCTAAATGTCAAAGACAGGATTGAATCCAGTTTATCTGAAAGGTCAGTGATATTAGCTACTTGAATTTCATGTTCATTGGTCTCTTCTTCTTCTATCATTTCATCTTCGTCGCTATCTGATTCATCAGGGTCTTCGAAATGGACTCTTTTAGCGTCTTTAACCGTGGCATCGCTCTCCTTATCTAAGACAACATCGTCGGCATCGTCGACATCGTCGTCATCGTGATCGTCGTCACACGATTCTTCGCCTTCATCGTCATCCAAGTCATCCTCAAACTCAGAATCGTCGTCTAGATCGTCCAGCTCATTTTGCAGCTCAACATCGATCTGTATGCATCTTTCCACGATCAACGACCAGATGTTGAATCTCAGCTCTGGACAGTAGTCATTCAGGAGCAATAGATTAGAGACATAGTTAACAATGTCATTTTTACTGTTATGCTTATTTGGGAAGCCCTTAACGAGCTGCTTGGTTATTGAGGGAATCGACGTTGGTATCGTCTTTATGAAGTATCTCAACATTTCATGGTGATATTCAGTCTTCGACACTGCAAGGGTGAACTGCCCTATCAGGATTGAAGAGATCTCACTCCACCACTTCGGCAGATACGAGCACAGTGTCATTATGAATCTCTTGAACACACCGATCACAGCCGAGTCCAAAGTGTACCACTTGTGATAGTTTATGATGGCTAACAATATGGCATTTGCGCCCTTGGAATCCAGCTTAGAAATGTTATTTGTCAAGATTATCAGTATAACACTCAAGTTCTTCGGTTTGATGGCCTCTGGGTGGGATCTCGGCAGAGATATCTGGCTGGCTAGAGTGTCCAGCTGGACAGCACTCGTACTCGCACTCGTCGTAGCAGCGCCATTGGCAGCTGAGTCCAGTGACTCCAGCGCAGATTTGATATACGATTTGTACATATTCAGGTGGAACTCGTCGCCATCCTCCTCATCCTCCTCCACCAACGTGTCCACCACCCCGTGCTCACCCCCCTGGTCATACCTCATCTTCTTCGCAGCGTGAGACATCACTACCTCATCGCCCTCATCCTCCTCGCGTGATCGCTTGAAATGGTCCTTCTGGCGGTCTATCGACATCATTTTACTACAGGCTCTTCGTATGTGTTCACTGGTTCATTCGGCACGCGCTTCAAATCCGTCGTCTATCTGTTCTATACGGATCCAATTGCCTATAATCAACAACAAAAGAGGAGATGGATGAGAGAGAAAGGGGGATTAAATAAGGGAAAAAAAATTTTAGTAGCACACGCACAGGAGAAAAAAAATCTGTGGCTTTTTGCCCGAACCGGATCTTACGTAAGCGATGGGTCCGGGTGTTTCTTTTTTGTGTCCGTTGCCCTGGTTTCACAAAAAGTGAAACTCCGCGAAGGCTAAAACACAAAATCGTAAACAAACAACAAAGTCAGACGAAGAAGTTGATTCGATCATACGAACGTCGACTGGCTCCCACTGGCCCAAAGAACACACTGCTGTAATGGACTATACACCTTCGCCTGCTAAGATCAACAAGGAGTTTGCCTTTCTAGACAATTCGATAGACACCGGAGTGCGCTCTGAAAGGACGAGAGGATCGCCTTTGAAGCCCATGAGGGATGACTCGTTGAACAACTTACAGAAGAGGTTCTTCGACAAGTACAGCGGGTTCAAGCCTGCAAAGGGCCGGATGGCGCTGGTGGATGAACAAACGACGGATCGTTTGTTCAAAGTTGTGCCTCAGAGGGTGCCTGTTGACGACGGTGTGAAGATCAGCTCGAACATGATTGAAAAGATCATTAGGGAGAACGAGTCCTTGCAGAGACAAGTTTCCAAGTTGAAGCAGGAGCGAGATGTGACTCAGACTTTTGCCAAGGGGCTAAAGGACAAATTGATCAAGTATAGACAGTCGAATGAACGGCTTACGGGGGAGTTGGAGCGGTTGGAGAGGTTGCATTCTGCTAAGGAGGATGAGATATTGGCGCTGCGTGTTAAGAACGAGCAGCTGGAGTCTGAACTGGAGCTGAAAGCCACTGTCGAGAGCCCCATTGCGAGTGTTCCTGCGAGCATCTTCCCCCAGGATACCAGCAAAGCTCAAGAACCGGCCAATACGGCTGGAGCAACAGCCAGTGAAGTGGAAGAGCTAGCTAGCAAGGTGGAAGAACCAGTCAAAGTGCAAGAACCAGTCAAAATGCAAGAACCAGTCAAAGTGCAAGAACCAGTCAAAGTGCAAGAACCAGTCACAGTGCAAGAACCAGTCACCAAAGTGCAAGAACCGGCCAGTGAAGTGGAAGAACGCATCAAAGCCCTACAGTCGCAAATCATCCAGATATCGGAGAAGGATACCGAAAGGTTCCAGTACATCAAACACGAGATCGACTCACTAAGGGACATCCTGCTCAACCCCCGCGAGGACAGCTCAGAAGCACCTGCCCCAGAGCCCAACGGTAGAATCTCCGAGGACGACTGGATCATCCGGGAAACCGACGAGGTTGAGCAGCTCCAGCAAGAAGTACTACGCATTCAACGCAAGCTCCAGATACGCGAGGACAACTTGAGACGCAAGACTGAATTGAAGGAACAGCTAAGGGAATTGAGTGGTCAATTGGACAATCAAAGTGCCTGCGCCACCACAACAACGAACCACAGCCTCCCTCCAAAGACAAGCTGCACCGTGTGTCCAGGCTCGACGGACAAGGAGTCGTCGGAAGCACCACACTTCCACATAAACGGAACCAAGTGGTACTGACCTCCAACCGCACAGCACGTTAGTATCATCAGATGTTATCGAAACAATGTATTACGTAATGTCTTCTTTCCCAAAACGGAATCTTTCCTAATCGGGAAGTTTCCCCCTTTGTTTATTTTTCACGCTTTTGTGGTTTTTCCTCTCGCTTCGCTAAACGAGCAAAACGAACCATTTGCTCCCACATCGCTTAAATTTTTCTCGTTTCTTCACTCCAACTCTCTCCCTTTTACTCCCTTCAGCTCAACCAAAACTCGCTAAGAACGCCTCCCAGAACAAGAAGAAGATGTCTGCTGGAGCTCAGTTTCTGTCGCTAAACACCACCTTCGACTCGCCGATGTTGCAGAGGGTCCAGTCCACTGCTGAGCCGATTGTGGACCGGTTATCAGCTCTGGTCGGACCGATAACATGGACCAAGATCATCGTGACGTTGATTGCGCTGGTGCTTGTGTGGGACCAGGTGTCGTACCAGTTGAAGAAGGGCTCGATTGCTGGGCCTGCGTGGAAGATGTGGCCAATCATTGGGCCGTTTATGGAGTCGCTGGACCCGAAGTTTGAGGAGTACCAGGCCAAGTGGGCCTCCGGTGCGCTGTCCTGTGTGTCTGTCTTCCACAAGTTTGTTGTGATTGCTTCCGACAGGGACCTGGCTCGTAAGATCTTCCAGAGCCCTAAGTATGTGAAGCCGTGTGTTGTTGACGTTGCGGTGAAGATCCTGAGACCTTCTAACTGGGTCTTTCTGGATGGCCAGGCCCACGTCGACTATAGAAGGGGGTTGAACGGTCTGTTCACCAAACAGGCGCTTTCCCAGTACATTCCAGGACTGGAGGTCATGATGGACAAGTACATTGACAGATTCAGAGAGATCTCTAAGGAGGAGCCTGTGATTTTCTTCCACGAGTTCAGAGAGATGATGTGTGGACTGTCTCTGAAGGCATTCTGTGGTGATTACATCACGGAAGCACAGATTAAAAAGGTTGCTGACGACTACTACCTGGTCACTGCTGCTATGGAGCTGGTCAACTTCCCAATCATCTTGCCGTTCACCAAGACTTGGTATGGTAAGAGAACTGCTGATATGGCCATGAAGATCTTTGCTGACTGTGCCGGTGAGGCGAAGAAGCACATCTCCTCAGGTGGTGAGCCTACTTGTGTTATGGATAATTGGATCAAGTTGATGTACGATGCCCAGGCTGCGAAGGAGAAGAACCCAGATTCTAAATTGAGAGTGCGTATGTTTTCGAACAAGGAAATCTCTGAGGCGATCTTCACTTTCCTCTTTGCCTCCCAAGATGCATCGTCATCGTTGGCTTGTTGGTTATTCCAGATCGTTGCCGACCGTCCAGATATCCAGAAGAAGATCAGAGAAGAACAGCTCCAAATCCGTAATAATGATCCAAATGTCCCATTGACTATGGACTTGATCGACAAGATGACATACACATCACAGGTTGTCAAAGAGGCACTCCGTTACAGACCTCCAGTGTTGATGGTTCCATACGTTGTTAAGCAAAAGTTTGCCGTGACACAGGACTATACAGCACCAAAGGGTGCTATGTTGATTCCAACATTATACCCTGCATTACACGACCCAGAAGTTTACGAGAATCCTGATGACTTCATCCCAGAGCGTTGGGAGGAAGGCTCCCCTGCTTGGGAAGCTTCAAAGAACTGGCTTGTGTTTGGTGTCGGTCCTCATGTCTGCTTGGGTCAAACATATGTGTACACCACCTTTGCAGGATTATTGGGTAAGATGGTTTTGCATAACGATTTGCATCACAAGGTTACAGATCTTTCAGAGGAGATTAAGGTGTTTGCTACCATCTTCCCTAAGGATGATTTGTTGTTGCAAGTCACAGAGAGAGATCCATTTGCTCCAACAGAGGTTCCAAATGAAGCATGATTATATCTCACTCTATTTTTTTCATCTTTTTTTATATATATACACGTATATACACAATACGACTTTATACATTTGTTAACAATGACTTTATTTATCGACAACATGGATTTTGTACGTTTATATATATATCATAACTTCAAGGAAGATGTGCCCTGTTGGACTTTATCCTTCTTAACGTTACCCTCAACATCACGTCTTTGGCCCTTTGAGTCGATAACTGTAACGTTCTTAGCCTTCGATAGAGTCTCGATAACCTGTTGTTTCTTTGACTTCTTAACAGGATTCTGCTCTCTTTCTTTGAACTCCTTGGAACGCTTACGCTTGTTAGCACGTCTCATTCTCTGCTTGTCCTCACGAGTCAATTCATCTCTGCTGAACACTGTACCTGATTTCAATTGGATTTCGTTACCGTCACCACTACGTGTGGCATTGTAAATCTCCTGTGGGGCTAGTGTTGAGCCTGTGGACTGCGTGAGAGGTTGAGCATCTTCCATCGATATGGTTGGTGCATTGACCTTGATGTCGATAGATTTCTGTGCTGGTTTAGGAATGAAATGAGCAGAACTTAGAGCATCCAGTTTATAGGAAATGGAAGCAAACAGGTCTTTCACTTCGTCATGAGCTCTTTGTAGTTCTTCACTGATTTCACCATCCTGTTCCTGCTTGTATTCATTCTCGTATAGCTCAGCGAGCGACTTGGAGGACTTCTCCTCACTCAGCTGGAACGACGACGAAGGCTTGAAGTTTGTAACATCGGAAATGATACGCCTTGGTAAGTCATCAAAGTTGCCCTCTTTGATTCTTCTTCTGATCATCTCTTCCAAGGACTCGGTGACGTCTTTAGTTATCACTGGAACAGGTTTGGCAGTTCTTTCGAATTCCAAATCCTCATCCAGCAGAGAATCAGTAGGACGGTCCTTGGCTTTAGTTTCACCCTTCATGGCCCATTTCTTCTCTGCGATGGCTTCGTTTTCCAATTTGGCAATTTCCTGCTGGATAGCTAGCTGCTGACGTTCAAAACTCGACAGATTCTTCTCCTCCTGGTGCTCCTCCTCTTGTACAACATCTTCGTCGTCGAATAGATCCAACATTGCTGATTTCATACCATCTTCAAAGTCATCCTCGTTGAGCTCAGGTTCCTCCTCGGTTTTTTTTGCTTTCTTGTTCTTCTTACTGCCAGCCTTCTTATAATCTGATTTCAGTTCCTTTGGCTTTGCAAAGAAATCGTCATAGTATGCCACTTCGTCATCATCCGAGTCTGGGATATCACCGAAGTAGTCAACATCATCCTCGTCATTGAGATCACCACCCTGTTCCCTTTCCTGGTCCAGAATCTGCTTGTTGAAGTCGTCGATGGAGAAAAACCCATCGTTCAGGCCAAAAACATCTTTCTTGTCCTCCACGGGTTCACCTTTCGCTGTCGAAGCCTCTGGGGAGTTCTCTTCGCCCTCTGAGATTGGCTCCTCTTCATAGTCATCTTCACCATCGAATTCAGCGTGCTGGGCCTCATCGTCGCTTTCTTCCCCGACTTCCTCGCTTCCACTGCCATCTTCACTGCCATCGTCGCTGCCATCGTCGCTGTCACCTTCATCCTCGCTTCCGCCTTTCACACCAGCAGCACCCTTCAGGCTTGGAAGCTTATCAAAGAGCAGCTCTTCAGTAACATTATCCAGTATGATCTTGGCCTGTTGCCACACCTGTGAAGCATCCAGTCCGTCAATATAAATCTCATCAAGAACGGAGTGGCCCTTTGTAATCGGGTCAATAATGCCCTTCACCAGCGCCAGAAACTCAGACGACTCCACCGACGAGTCAAGCAGCTGCGTAGGATCGCTCGTGAGCTTTTCAATCAACGACATCCCGGTACAAATGAAACCAATCTAACCAATCAGCAGAGAGATGAAGAGGTGAATATCAAAAAAAAATTAAGCGATGAGATGAGCATTTCCAAAAGAGCTTCGAAAGCGAGCCGAGTGAAAATTTATGCCCTCGGTGTGCTGCCCCTTAACCAATTCTTACGTAATCAAAAACTTCTTTCGGAAAAATCCCATCGGAAAAACTTCATGCGGTGTCCGGGTGTTGTGGTGTCCGGGTGGCTGCATTTACAGTTTGAGATCTTCCGACCCCTTTCGATTTGTTTACATTTTACAATCTCGTCTGTTGATCTCTTCTTCAACAGCTTGCTATTCCACTCTTCACGACGAAAACACCGGGGAAAAGCCCATCTAAAGAGTGGAAAAGACGCCTTTCTTGAGGAAAGCGAGCTATTTGTGTGTGCTTTTGTCTCTCTCCGCCGTCTTCTCTCGCAAGTGACGACCGCTTATCACCAGATCTGTCCTGGGGAATAAAGCAAAGCAGCAACGGATATAAACAAAACCAATGGTGTCTCCAGTTGACGGCTCGCCAAGGGTGCCAGGATCGCCTGGACCGGGCTCTTCTGCTTCAAGAGCTCAGAATATCAACTACAGGGAATCGCACGATTCCTTGCACCCCAACTTCATCGCAATTCCAGTGGAAAGAACACCCCATTCTGTTCGTCTGCGTCGTGACTCTCTGCTTCACAACCCTCTCGGCTCTTTCAAAGGTGTGAACTCGCTTGGGCGATTTGCATCCTCGTTCTCGAGAGCCCAGTCGTTCAGGACGATCGAGCCTCTGTCGCAGCACTCGAGATCGTACTTTAGGGATAACGATGAGCTCTTTGATAGAGATACGCTGGCGCCGTCGTACCACGGCCAGAGGCTCTCCACTGTGGTCCAGCGAAACGAGTTTGAGCCCTTGAGACCGAAGCCAAGCAACGATAGCATAGCCATTGACGAGCAGGGTGACTACGACGCTATTGATGACAGTTCATTCGTCCAGAGCTATAGATCCCCTTCTGTGTACTCATACGGTGCCACGGGGAACTTGATTGGAGGTGACGCAAGCTCCTTCACCGGCTTCCAAGAGGCTACGCCTCTTGTCCTGAAGAAAGTGGAAGCCAAGGGGAAAGTGGTGACCGTGATCGCAGGTCAATCCACTGCTCCGCAGACGATTTTCAACTCCGTTAACGTGCTCATCGGTATTGGGCTCTTAGCATTGCCATTGGGATTATCCCACTCTGGTTGGTTACTCGGTATACCAGCCTTGGCTCTTTGTGCTTACTTGACTTTCAACTCTGCTGAACTCCTGTCCCGTTGTATGGATACAGATCCAACTCTTATGACTTATTCGGATTTGGCATACGTGACCTTTGGTCCAAAGGGTAGAGCTCTAATTTCGCTTCTATTCTCTCTTGACCTTATGGCAAGCGGTGTTTCACTTATTGTGCTGTTTGCGGACTCACTTAACGCATTGTTCCCCTCGATCTCGATCATTCATTTCAAAGTCATCGCCTTCTTGGTGTTAACCCCACCTTCCTTCTTACCTCTAAACATCCTCAGTCTTGTGAGTTTGGCAGGTATCACTTCAACCATTGGTGTTGTAATTGTGATTTTCCTCTGTGGTTTCACTAAATCAACATCACCGGGTTCGCTCATCGAGTTCGCCACTACAAACATGTTTCCAAACTCCATCCCTGATGCTCTTATTGCTATTGGAATTCTGATGGCTCCATTTGGTGGCCATGCAATCTTTCCAAATTTGAAAGTTGATATGAGACATCCTCATAAGTTTAAAGATTGTTTGAAGGTGACATACTCTATCACGTTTCTGACGGATATGTCAATGGCAATCATTGGATTCCTAATGTTTGGTGATGCTGTTAAGGATGAAATCACAAAGAGTGTTTTGTTGACAAAGGGTTATCCACAATTTACATATTGGCTAATCTGTGCGTTGATGGCCACCGTTCCATTCTCTAAGACACCATTGAATGCTCGTCCAATCATCTCTATTTTTGATATGGCCTTGAGATTACAAGACATCTCTGAGTTCAAAGGGTTGGCTTATGGGTGGAGATTAACGCTCAAGATCTCTGTTCGCATCTTTGTCAACGCCTTATTCGTCATCATTGCCATAATGTTCCCTGCATTTGATAAGATTATAGCATTTATGGGGGCTGGTTTATGTTTCCTCTTATGTTTGATCCTTCCTGCCATCTTTTACATGACCATCTGTAAAGACACCATCACCAACAGGGAAAGAGTTGAATGCTGGATAATCATAGTGTTCAGTGCCATATTCTCAGTTGTTGGTACTACAGCAGCAATATTGTATTGAAATAGTACATAGTTATTGTCTTGCGACATCCTAGAAAGTCTCAACAACGGGTAACATTGTTTAATACACAAATTACACACAACAGCTGGAATCATTATACACATAATGTACAGGTAGTTTTCTTTTTGCTTAGTAAGGGTTAAATCTACCGCGTCCACGAGCTCTAAATCCACCACGTCCACGTCCTCTACCACGTCCTCTACCACGACCATAACCTGGAACGTTTGTTCTCTTTGGTGCCACTTTCAAGTTTCTCCCTCTAAAGACAGAATCGTTGAGTAACAACGATTCCGTGACGGCAGCAGGCTCGGCAAATTCGATATAGGCGAATCCCTTTGGTTGGCCTGTGAATTTGTTCAAGAGGATAGTCACTCTGTTGATCACACCAACCGATTGGAAATGCCTTTGCAGCTCTTCGGGACTCGACTCGTAGTCCACATTTCCCACGTAGATGGACCGCGCATCAACATCAGACGCTTGTTCTGACACATCCTGTTCCTGTTGAGCTAGTTGCTGTTGAAGCTCTCGTAGTTTGATGGAGTCGGCATCCAGCAAGCTTTCCACGGGTTGCTGCTGTTGTTGCTGCTCCACAGCCTGTTGCTCCACAGGCTGTTGTTGCTGCTCTTGAGGGTTCTCCCCTGGTATTTCCAGCGGAGCTGGTGCAGCTGGTGCTACCTCCGTTAATTGCTGTGCTGATGCCTCGTCGCTCATATCTGTAAAATACAACCACGGGCCCTCGTCTCTGTTTCTCCTCCGCCTTTGCTTCGTCGTCGCCGTGGTGGGAGCCCATTTTGGAAAGGAAGCTCTATTTTTTCGTGATAAACCCGAACACCCACACACCCGAACACCTAAACACCCAAACATTTATACATCCAAACACCTAAACACCCGCACACCCAATATGTCACTTGCCGAGAAGCATCAACATCTTAATCCCCCTTCATCGTCTATTGCTCCATCTCAGCGGCCTTCTCTCCTTCTCTCACCAGGCTGATCTCTACCGAAGAACAATGATATGTGTGGCTTACTTCGCTATACTATGGTGCGTGCTTTGTATCTCAACAAGTGCAGCACTGCCATCGAGCCGGACCAACATGAATGTGGAAGACACGCTCTCCGAGGACCCTGTGACGGTGATAGATATTCTGTCGAATAGCGTGGAGTTCTCGTACTTCCTGAGACAGTTGCAACGGAGCATGCTGGTTCCTTATCTCAATCAACTGAATAACTTCACATTGGTGGCGCCAACAAACTCTGCCTTTGCCAGATCCGCGGTGAAGAGCGGTGATGGTGGTGGTGGTGACGATGATAGCTTAGAAACAATGAACTTGCCAATACTCACCAAGGAGCAGTTCCAGAGGTACATCGTCAACAATACCAGGTCATTTTCACGACTGAAGGGGGTGCACATCCTTGAAACCATGCCGTTGGCTGGTTCGCCAGTGATGCCTATCAAGTTCCAAACAGTGGATGACGAGAACCATTACATCAATGGCATTGACGTTGTGGAGCTGGATCTCCACGCTGACGATCAGGATGCTTACGTGCAAGGAATAGACAAAGCCTTGCCCCTGGCACACTGTATCGACGACGTTGTCTCAAACCTACCCAACAGCTATATCTTCAACTCCCTTGCCTCGACTGCCTTCAACTTATCAGGCAAGACTGTGCTGGTACCCATTGATAGTACGTTCAACTTGGAGGAGCACCAGTTAAACTATCTGTTATCATCGTATGGAGTGGAGGATAACAGGCGAATCATGGGCTCGTTGCTTATAGAGGGTATATATGGAGGTGATGGACTGAATACTACGGTTTTGGATCACAACGGGTACCCTCTGTCGATCAGTTCCTCGAATGATGGCTCGAAATTCATCATAAACAACACAGTCGCCTCCATTCAGTCCAATATATTGGCACAGGATGCACTGGTCCATGTGTTTGATTCAAAAGCTGTCGTTCAGGACGTTGAATGGAACGCTATGAAGACACTTGTCGGCTTAGAAGCTATCAGCTTTGTCGAAGAATTGATATTGCAAGACCTTGACGAGCTGATAACGGATAACTCATTGGAGCAGACGATATTCTACCCTGTTGACTCGAACCAGGTGTCGATAGCTTCAAAATCTTCAAATCTCTACCATTTCGTCACGGAAAGGATACCCTCAATCCAGGATATTACAAAGACATTGTACAATACAAGATTTTGCAATACAAAGAAGCTGGGATCCTCTTGTCAGAGGATCAAAGCTAAGAAGGTTGGTGAGAATGCGGTGATGCTGAACGGGAATGTGCTTATTGAGAAGGGCCCCTATACTGTTGGAAATACAACAATCTTTTTAACAGATGAAGACCTGAGAACTCCAAACGACATCGTCTCATCGGTTAATTCGATATTACACTGCTCTAAATCGTTATCATTCCTAGAGAGCTTGGGACTACAAAAGTTGGCCAATAACCACCTTGGTTATACGTTGTTCCTACCTTGTTTCAACTCCTGGGAAGATTATACCCTCACCCTGAACTTTCTGAAGAAGAACATGACTGCTCTGGAGTTTCTGATGAGGAACCATATGCTAAATGGGTTGCTCTATACTGATTTCACAGATGATGAGGTTGAGCTCACCAATTTGAATGGTTTGCCTGTGGATATCAAATACGATGGAGAAGACAGCGACGGCCAGCTTTTGAAGTTGAAATACAATGACGATAACCTGGTGTTGAGAGGTGAGAAGGATATCATCTTCAACCAAGGTGTTATCCATCCTTTGAACCAACTAATCATTCCAGAGGAACTTGACATCTCACTGGGAGATATACTGAAATCGTCAGACGCAGACCTCTTCCTACAGTTCATTTCCCAGTTCCCAGACTTGGAGACGGCACTGTATCACGATGATTACTCGATCTTGCTACCATCAACATCCTCTCTCTCTGATCTGAGTGGGCTGGACTCAAACACAACCCTGGAGGAATTCCTGCAACTTCATATTATATCCCCACAATCCATTGAGAACCTCTACAACTGTGACGGCCCAATCGTCACTCTCAACAAGAGGGCCAACCTAACGTGTAAACAGCTCAGTGGCATCCATTCTTTCCTACAAGTCGATAACGGTGCAGATAACGGTGTAAGAATCCTGAACAGAGGCTGTACTTCGACATTGAAAAGTACATGTGTCTATTCCATCGACAGACCAATCTCATTGAAGTGGATAGACAATAACGACCATTTACACATCTCTTTACCAGGGCTTGCGGTTGGACTGGGTATCATTCTCGGATCAGTTCTCATGGTTTCGCTGTTGGGATGTCTAATGCTTGTCCTCTTCAGCAAATCGAAGAAGTCCGCAGACACTGAGAGCCATGGCTCCAGGCCCAACTCAACACATTCTGAATGTAATGAGAACACAGCGTTGTTATCAGAATCACAGCCTGATAATCAGGTTTATAACAGTTTTGAGAGCGGGTACTCTTCAAACACTCGAGTTAACCCAATTACATTCTCCAAGAAGACGTCACCAGTGAACTAAGCCGTCTTCCCTATACACTGTCCTATATAAGCTACTGCTACTACTCACCTGATCCCAATCATTTCACTTCATCCATGCGTATCAAACCATGCTATCGGCTGCCTCTACTCGAAGAGGTTGAAAGCCGACACACATTGGTGTGGAAACGCATAGGTGTGGCTTCTTATCATCATCACCATTGTGGGGATATAAGCGGACCGACATTTAGCCTAGCTGGAAAACAATTATCGCGTTATCACCAGAGCTGGGGAGTCCATATGGCCATCTTAGTAAGCGATA